AGGATCCTTATTTAATGATTAAAAAAAAAAAACAATTTGCTGGCAAGTTATAAAAACCCCAAACCAGAATACATGGTGCTAACAATACAGTCTCAAAATATAAGCAAATACTGATTTAATTACAGCAGAAATTGTCAAATCCACAATCATTGCAGGAGCATGGATTTAAAGGGAGAAAAAAAGATTCCTCTCTGCTCTTTTAAAGAGAAAACCTAACACATAAAGACACGAAAAGCTGAAAGGAATGAAAAAATATTTACCATATTCTAAAGAAACCTCATGGAGAAATTTCAGTATCAGAAAAGCAGATTTTAAGACAAGTGGCTCAGAAGTTGACAAGCTGATCCAATAACCACTATAATGTTGAAAAAGAAGAATAAGGAAGGACTCATCCTACCAGAATTCTGAATTACTTAAATTACAGTTAGTTAACATCCAGTGTAATACTAGTTTCAGGGGTAGAATTTAGTGATTCATCACTAACTACAACACCCAGTGCTACTTCAACTTAGAAAAGGCTTTATTGAATTTCTTAAGCACATACAAATCATAAAGAAAAAAAATGGATAATTTCAACCACATTAAAAATAAAAACAGCACAAAGTTAAAAGGTAAGCCAGACCAGAGAAGATATTTATAGTAACAAAGGTTTAACTTTCTGAATATATAAAGAACTCCTGTGAACAGAACCAAAGATCCCCTGTAAAAAACAGGTGGGGGGGGGCGGCTATAAACTGGTAACTCACAGAAGAGGAAACCTTCTTGGATAAAAAACAAATGAAAAGACACCCATTGTCACTGTACGTTCAGTATTAAACAAACTGATTAAACGATAGGATCGGGCATATCCAACCAACCTGAATGTCAGATAATGACAAGTGTTTGTGAGGGAGAGGGGAAACAACCACCACTGCTGATAGGGAGTAAACTGCTACAACTATTGTGGTAACTAATAACATTTAGTAACGTTGAAGATGCATGTCCCACTTGTAGGTACATACCCTAGAGATACCGTCAAATGTGTAAACAAAGAAACATACACAAGAACGTTTTCCTTTTGTAATACTAAAAAGTAAAGGGGCACCTGGTGGGCTCAGTGTGTGGAGCATGCGACTCTTTATCTCAGGGTTGTGGGTTTGACCCCATGTTGGGTGCAGAGATTACTTGGAAATAAAATCTTTAAAAAAAACTAAAAAGTCAGGACCATCCTCAATGGCCATCAACAAGAGAAATGAACTAATGGTGGGATTAATCATACAATGGAATAGTACATGTATCAACCAGTTCTGCATGTAAACTAGCTCCTCACATATCAACATGTTAAACGTGAAAACAAAATGCTGAGTAATAAACTTTAAAAGGATATGTATCATGAAGCCAATTATGTTTAGTTTAAAACATAGAGGGTACTATACATTGCAAAGCATGAAGGGTAAGGATATGCACGAAAAAGATAGTAGTTCTTGGAAGGAAATGACGAGAGGGAGATGTTCAATGGATAGGTAGCTTTTTGTTTATTTAAAAAGAAGAATCTGAAATAAATAGGGAAAAGGTTAACAATGGTTAAATTTGGGTAGTGACTATATGTCAACATTCTTGGCTGCAAACAACAGGATCTGTTCTAGCCAGTTTAAGCAAAAAACAAATGGCTCACAAATGGGCTCAGGCTTGGAAATCTGGTTACACAACTCTGAAAAATGCCATTACACCAGAGCAGCTGCAAAGGGAAGGACTGCTGGGCATAGCCCACTGCACCACGGCTGCCTGGAAAGCCACGAGTCCCTGCTCCCCGAACAAAATGGATCCCATGTGCCATGGTGTCTTCATGGTGTCACTTCCAAATTTCATACAAGTATGTCTAACTGGTGACCTAGGATGCCTGTCTGAGCCCCCAGCTACAAGGAAATTTTGGAAATTATGTTTTAGTCTTCCCCTTGGTGAGATAAGATCCATAGAGTGGGATGTTACCAGAGTGGATGTTCAAGCGGTACTAGGTACCCAAAAAAGCAGGACAAATGTCCACTCAAACAGGGGTTATGTTTCTATTTTTCTGTATGCTCAAAATAGGTCATATTTATTTTTAAAAAATCAAAGTATAAATCCACCAAGAGGATGGGAGAGGAAAGCAGCAGCAGAAATTTCCAGGAATTTCCAAAAGATGGGACTAACAGGACAGTAGAGGGTGTCACCACTTAGATGTATGTGGAGGGAGCCCATCAGAAGAGAGAGCTGACCTGCCCAGATGGGTCTGGAGAAGCTCAGAGGTGGTAGAAGACAGAAGACAGGAGAGGGGCTAAAAAGAAAAGGATTAAAGGTCTATATGACCTTGACCCCACATGCCCTATCTCCAAATACAGAAGGGCATGAATCCAGGTATTTCCCCCCAGGTAAACTAATGGAAGGATCTCATGAAATAAGTGGGAGCACTGTCTGGGAAGAACAAGAGCAGTCAGTATAGAAATCTGTCAGCAAGACTGAACAGCTCTTCATTCTAGCATTGAGAAAATCCCCATCATAACAGTCAGTGGCATAAGTTCAATTAAAAAGATAGGATACAAACACACACACAAAAAAAAAAAAAAAAGAAAGAAAGAAAAAGAGGGGAGGGGAAATACAGAAGACCAATACAGAAGATCCAAAATCCAATAAAAGGTATTGGAGAAACAGAAAAGGAAAAGGAACAAAATATTTAGAAAGAAAAAGAAAAATTTCCTAGAGCTCAAAAGAGATGTCAAAATTGAAAGTACCAAGGAGAATAATTAAAAATCTAGATACAGACATAAAATTTTACCACTCTAAAACACCAAGAACATTAAGATCCTAAAAGTATCCAGAGTGTGTAATGCATGTGGGTGTGCGGCAGGGACAGTGGTATGGAGGAAGGCAGGGTTGCAGGGAACAGTTTATATAAAAAGGAACAAAGTCAGATGGGTTATCAGACTTTTCATTAGCAACATCAGATGCCAGAAGATACTTGAGCTGCTTTCAAAGTCTTGACAGAAAATTATTTTTCAATCTACAATTCTCTACCTAGCCAAACAGTCGATCAAATAGAAGTTGCAAAACAAAGCTACTTTAGACATGCAAGGGCTCACCTCTTACACGCTTTTTCTCAAGATGTAACTTATATGGACTCCAGCACAATGAAAAAGTTAATAAAGGAACAGGAAGTTATGGTCTCTAGGAAGAAGTAGATCCCACCCAGGGAAGAAATAAAATCTTCAGAAGAAACCGGTGTACTACGCCCAGGAAGAAATATTTTGGCAAAACAGTTTGAAGACTGATAATCAAGACTTGCCCCAGATACAGGAAAGCAGGAACTCTGACACACTGTTACTGGGACTGCCACTGGCAAAATCTTTTGGAGGTTAAGATCTGGTAGCATCTGTCAGTAACTCTACAATCAGAAATCTATTCCTACAAACTGTATGTGAGGCGGTGCAGAACAGTACGTAAGAGCATGTGATGAAGTAACCTGGGCCCAAATTCCAGCTTTGCTACTGGCCAGTTCTATGGTCTGCTTCCTCATTTACAAAATGGAAACACCTTCTCAACACATTGTGAGGATTAAATAAGGGACTCATGTGAAAGGCTTAGCATCGTGGCCAGTATATAGGAAATACTCAGTTAACTTAGTAAATTCTCAGTTAAATCTATCCATCCACAAAACACTTGCCATTTTGTACAAGGATATTTATTGTGTCATTGTTTATTTTTTTTTTT